TGTTGAAGCAGGACTTTAACTATGATAACTGGGCATGGTCACTGATCTCACAGGGTTTGTGCAGCACCGTTCACCCCCAGCTCCCCACTCTCTGCCACCTTTCACAACAACACCCTCCCCTTTTTTTTTAGGCTAATTTTAAGCACGCAAAAGCAGGTGATATTTTAAAAATTATTCAGTCTGGTTACTAGCGTAAATTCTCAGTAAGCAAGAGGACTGTTTTAAAAGCACTAAAATTGGGAGTTTGATCCTTCAACGCCCAGAACTGAAAGATAAAAATTATCACTGAAATTTGGATATTTAAATTTTTACTTGTAATTTTAGAACACCTTTTGTCAGTTACAGATACCAAATCTAATCGCAATGGATATTAAATGCAGAAAGGCAGATGTACTTTGTGCCAAGTGCTGCAAATCCAGGAACTTTAAAGAGCTGGAGTTGAAATCTCGGAGTCAATCTCTCTCCGCACACATGGAATATTCTGAGGGAGCGTGCGAGGCCCGGGGCTGTATGGCCCTGCTAGTAATTGCTCCACAAAAGACAGTTAACAGTTCCCTTGCTCTTCTCTAACTACCTTCCTGACTGCTTATTGAAGTCTGATTTCTTACTCCTCTGGGTCATCATTCATCAGCCCCACGGGTCCCACCGGGAGAGACCGGCCAGACCCTGCCATCGCCCTCCTTGCCAGAGGCCATTTCTGACGGCCCGTGATATAGAAAATGTCTTCACAGCGATCCGGTGGGACAAACTATGGTTATAATACCCAAATAATCATTTTGCAAATTATCATAATTATCAATCAATCATCCTGTGCGAACAATGCGGTTCTGAAGTATCAGATGGTTCCTGTGACCTGTAGCATTTTGTATATAATAATAAACCTGAGAGATTTATGGCCCTGCCCCGCTTTGTATCTGCAGCCACAAAACAGGAGTTGGCTTTTACTTTTGTTTCAGGAATAAAAGCTTTCCATCTACCTAGGTTCCTTCTTTACTACTTGATGCTTTCCAAGAGGTCAAGATTTTCTAATCTCACGCAGTTTCTAAAGTCACCTTCTTTAAAAAACATAAATCTGTGATTTGGATGTAGAGTATAAATTACTACACTGAATAAATTACTTTTAGTTTATAGTGTCACCAGCGTTATATATTACCAGCTTCTAGTATTTCGCAATGTAAGTATGAAGTCAGCCAAAGCAGGGGGGAAAACTGGTTTTGTCCTCAGTTTTTGTTGTTGTTTTGTACAATCCCAGATTGAATCCAGCCCTTTTGAAGCCGATAGCATCTCCCGCTCCCTGTGTAGTACATTCTTGTTAATGGATAAATTCAAGCTCTCCAGAAAGTCAAAGAATAAATTTAAAGCCTTTTGCCAAATGCCTATCCTATTGGATTTTGATAAGACGGCTATTGAGCTTTAATAATGTCTTCTATCCTTTTTCAGCTGGCCCTTAACATGTCTCTTTATTTGTCCCTAAAGCCTCTTCAGCGATGCCTTTTTATTACAAGTCTCTCAGCTTGCTCTCAGGGGAGACAGGGTCGACAAGAGTGATAGATAGATAACTCTATAGATTATCTCCCACAGATGTTTTCTCTCCAGTAGCCCCTCAGGCTATTCCCTCTAAGTAAACAGAAACTAAATAGAGAGTCTACAGAAGAGAGAAGTCCCCGAGGTCTCTTGTCACCACAGTCAGAAAAACAGCCCCTCCAGAGGAGGTTGGCCGGGAGCTGCGCACACACTGAGCCTCCTTCAACGCCAGCCCCAAACCATCCTCCAAAGTCACTTTTAGAGGAGAGATAAATACACCTGGCATCGCTCCGTGGAAAAAAAAAAGGTGTCTTGTAATGGACACTGGCCCCGCTTCCTGCCGGAGGAAGTCTCAATCCTTCATCTCCCTCTCAAAGTTAAACCAAAATGACAATGAAGATAACGATAACAAGCCGATTTTTCCAACGCATTTGAGTGCAGTGGGGAAGCTCAGAAAATGCAGAGCGATAGAGCACGTGAGCTGCTCTCTAAGGAAAATAAACGGGCTGCAGGAAGGTGGCTTGGAAAAAACAGATGTTTGGGAATATGGGACAATGTGCCCACAGGTATAACTTACGTATTTGTGCCCATCTCTGAATGCGTGCATTCAGTTCACTAAAAAATGTTCATCTCCTACTTTAGCGTTACTTTCACAATCGATTACATAAAATTAAACAAACAGGATGAGGAGCTGATGTGTATTTGTGCAAGTTAAACTAAAGTCCAGCAAGCAAAGCAGATAAAAGGAAAATTTGGTAGGACTCTAGTCTGGGGCACAGCGCGTTTCCAGATACAGAAAAATGATCCAGGATCTAGAGCCTTTAATAACATTGCTAGAAATCTTAATTTTTGGAAGATGACCACTACCAAACAAATCAGGTCCCTGGTGTTAGTGCTCCCAGCAGAAATAACAGTAACACAAACTGAATAATACTGGACACAGTGGGAAAACACTTCTTACTTTGCTCCAAGCCAAAAAAGGACCTGCTTTATTATACAATAGTGTAATATATTAATATATATTAATAGTGTCTGCTGTGCTGTGTCTTCAGACTTTTCACTGCCTTTTAGTCTATCAGAAGTTACATTATCAAGCTGATTTTTATTTTTCTTTTCTGGCAGCTTAACAGCAGAAATAATACTGGAGTCAATTTTTAGAGCAGGGATTGCTTCCTGTGCATCTCTCCATACCCCTCACCGATACCACGCTTCCCTTCCCTGCTCTATTTTTTGCTTTTACTATTTTTACAGGTTTTCTCTGCATTCTAGAGACATTTATTTTTTTTTCCTCCTTCTAGTCCTTGTTACCACCCAGTTCTGAACCTGTGACACAACAGTCAGTCAAAGGAGCCTCTGGAAACGATGGTCCCTCTGTTAGGGTGCGACTTCCCTCTCTCCCAGTTTAAATGAGCCCACCCACTGCCCTTACACTTGTCTTCAGTCACCTTCTCACCACCAACTCATCTCTGAAGGAACAGGAATAAATTGAAGTCAAATCTCAACTATTGTGTCTTCAGGGATATGACAACTGAATGATTTAGAGAGGCTGGAAAAGGAAATCTTCTCCCAAGAGGGTTTTTGTACCACTGGAGCAAAATGCTAGAGTACTACTTACAAACAATTTTAAAATACTACAAAAATTGTGCAGAATTATTTTTCATCCTTTATTTTTCATTTTCTTCTGACTGAAAAGCTGTCTAGCAGTAGTCTTTTCACAAGCCATAAAGTTTAGACTTGAACTCTTTACCTTACTGCTTTGACCTCCTTTACCCCAGCTGTAAAACCCTACTGCCCATCCTTCAATAAATTTATCACCTCATAAACTCCCACTAGTGCTTCTCCACAATGCATTTAAAAGACAGAAGTGGAAGGCGGGTCCTTCCCCCCTTGTCAAATATCGTAATTGTCCAGTTTTATACCTGCCGTACAGGAAAATACTTAAGGATGCAGTATTTTTTTCAAAGACCCGTGGCTTTTGCAACATTCTGCTTTGAAATAAAAGTACTGAAGTTTAAATACAAACCCATGCATTGAACATTAAAGCTACCAGTCCAGCATTTCCTTCTACCCTTGTTTTTACAAAGCCTGCTCTCTTCAGGCTAACACAGATTCTGTGGGGTCGGGATGTAGAATTTCATTGTGATATTCTAATTAAAGACTGAGAAAGAAATAGCTGAGCAGTCCCGAGCCATGGAGAATTTCCCCCATCCTTGTGAGAAGTGCGTTGTGATAATAAGAACCTGCCACCTTGTCACCATGTCCTTTCAGACAAAAGGATCCCACAGAGGCAGAGACAAACCCCAAATGAGTTATGGAGATGAACAAGGTAAAAAGTTCAGCAGAATTGCCATAGGTCCTCTGCAAGGTCATTGGATGGTCAAAGGACATCCCGTATCGGTAGCCCGGCTTTCTAAAATAAAAGCTTATTTTGCTTGACGTGGTAAGACTAGAATGGTCCATACGGGACGCGTGTCTAAGTATCTTTTCCCAAACTAACTTTGGAGCCTGCCCAGTATTATATTTCACTTTGTTTGGCAGAGTGGAACAAGTGTTTCCTTTTAGCTTTCGGAGTTAAGAAATAGCACTGAAGCTGGTTTAAACGGCTGAGTAAAAATGGCAGTTGTTGCAAGTTCCGATTCCAAATATGTTCCACTTTGAAAAAAAACTGGTATTTTATGAATAGGACTGTGAATACCCATTAGAAGACAATTGCATATGAAAAGAATTACAGCCAGCTCATTATTTCAACAGGGACGCGCTACCTCTAGCCATCTCGAGAGGGTATAATCACATGTGGCTTCTCACACTTTACTTTAGCAAAGCCGTTAACCAAAAGACGGCCACGGAAAGAATGTCATTTTAGTGCTACTGAGAATAACCCCAACCCAAATAGCAGACTGGCTACTGAAATATGTAGTGTTGAGGCTGCCTCACAGCGACTATGAAGACATTTATACAGCTGGGCTGTATTTGGAACACATTTTTCTCTGGTCAGTATTATAGTTTAAGCATCGCGATGTGATGAAAAGCACCAGTAATGCATCATACCAGTTAAATTTTATCCTTTCATAGATCTCTTCCTTTTCCCTTGGACTTCACATAAGCCACATTTACATGGTGAAGTGACCTCTAAAAATTTAGCACTTCTAACAAAGGCCCAACATTTTCTTTTACTGGAAAAGAGGTAAATGAGGTTTTTGGATTTGGACTGGTAGCTGTTCGTATTGCAGCTGAATCAAGGAACACTTCAAACTGTTGTTTTCTTTTTCATAAATACTGGAATCACAAAAAGACGGAAAAATATGCCAACAGAACCACAATGCTTAATCCAAAAAAGCAACAGCTAATATTGGAAAACCTCTACGACGCTATTCCGATACACACCTTTGTTCAGAAGTAAGTAGAGGAAAAAGTGTCTCAGTGTATTTCAAAGCCAGACAGAAAAACAACTTGCATAAAATTAATCCATATCCTACCTTTTTTATATTGCCCTCTTGGGAGGCCGCCTCGGGATCAGTCAGTATTTGCTATGAACAAACAAAATAGAAAAAAAAAATAAGTTGGATTGCAACTAAGAATATTATAAAATAATAATTATTATTATTATCATTATTATTGTACTTAGAGGCCAACACTCAACTGCAACAGAGCGACACAGACATTTTGGAAGTCAGATGGAAGGTTTATATCAGAACTACCATGATATTCTCCCACAAGTTAAGGTTTTCTGTAGCTTCTATAAATGATTTCTTTAGATTTGGCTGATGAAAACATGCATTTCTTTCCCAAATGGCAGATGCTATAGAGTTTGGGCACTAAAGGGATGGACCTGTGGGGTGTCCAAAAGCGAGTGCTTCTGGAGTGGGTGACCCAAGCCAGTGGCCAGTGCCCCACCAGGGAGGGGGACAGAGACAGCCCTGGTGACAACTGCACTCCAAGCATCCTTCTGTGATGCTGGAGGCATCTTCCACCTCACAAAGACGGATGTTCTAGCCTCCTGTAGCCAGGTGCTGAGCTAAGAACTTCAAACCAGTAGCCCCATCCCAAGGGCAGGGACTGATGGTGGGGCCAGGATGCTTTGGTGCCCCAGCGCTTCTCACAGCCACCCAGGAAGCTCTTTAATTGCTCCTCCAACAGCAGTGTGGTGACACAAGTCATTAAAATGCTGCTGTTTTCCACCTCCAATTAGGTCTACGTCAACAGGCATTTGGGGAGGTCAAGTACCTAAACCTTCTCTCAGACTGGGCAGCCCCACCAGGACAAACACACTCTACACAAGACTCACTGGAGCAGCCACATTGAAGCAGCTTCAGTGAGATGAGTGGGGATCTTGGACACCTGAGGTTAAACACATACTCAAGTGCCAGGTTGGGTCAAGGTACTCAAGACTTCTGGGCCCAGGCAATGTATTTTGGCTACCAGAGGAGAGCAGGAAAAAAGCTCCAAGTAACAGAGATCAAAATGCAAGGAAACCAAAGGTAAAATGAGCACGGGCCAAGTCTTCTCTTGGCTAAGTTGACTTGATTCTGACAAAATCAAGGAAGTTGTTTTTCTGCAGCTGAGGATTTGGCACAAAGTTCTTGGACCCCCTTTGACTGTGCCCAGAGATGGACTGATTTACAAACTTCAGGAATGTTGGTAAATATCTCCAAGCTCAGCCATAACAACAACGTCTCCTGTCTTAAATAGCAAGAACCCTACACCATTCTGTATTTTACAACAGCTCTAGCAGATCACAGAACCATAGAATCCCATGGGGTTGGAAGGGACCTCTGGAGATCATCTCCTCCAACCCCCTGCCAGAGCAGGGCCACCCAGAGCAGGTCCCACAGGAACGTGTCCAGGTGGGGTTTGAATGTCTCCAGAGAAGGAGACTCCACCACCTCCCTGGGCAGCCTCTTCCAGGGCTCTGCCACCCTCAAAGGGAAGAAGTTCCTCCTCATGTTTAGGTGGAACTTCTTATGGCCAAGTTTGTGCCCATTTCCTCTTGTCCTGTCCCTGGGCACCACTGAAACAAGACTGGCCCCATCCTCCTGACACCCACCCTTGAAGTATTTATAGGCGTTGATCAGATCCCCCCTCAGTCTTCTCTTCTCCAGACTGAGGAGCCTGAATCACTGGCCGTTCTTGAGCTCAGAGCACTTGTGGCTCCCGTTGCCTTCACTGGGAACCAGCCACCCTCAAAAGCCTTTTGAGAATTTTGGCCATGAAACTTTCAGAGCTGTAATATAAATACGCCTGTGCTAAACGACTTAAAAGCCTTCATGGAACACCGCTGCTTCCAAATGAAGACACTTAACTGTAATTATTATATGCAAAAAAACCCTTAAAATACAATTGGTTAAGTATGTGCATTCAGAGTGCATAATCCACCCGTTCAACAGGACCATAAACGTAGAGGGGGAAAAAAAAATTAAAATGAAGTGCAAATTGGGCTGTGGTATAGTCCTGTATAAACAGGCTTAAGAGTCAGGAATTCCTGAGTCTGAATCCGGATGCCAACACAAGCTTCCTTTTGTTGGTTTGGACAGATCTGCGCTCAAGGGGCAAGTTCTGTTTCTCAAACCGTATTTTTAGGTTTTTTTCCCCCTTCAGTTCCTAGCAGATCCCAAATTTCAAAATTCTTAGAGAACAGAATTTCTGTAAAAAGTATTTCATACGTATTCAAAAATGGTACTTCTACAGAAAAGCATCAGTTTAACCATTCATTCAGAATATTTTAAAATGGCTGGTTTTTGACAAGGTGAAATATTTTTTCAGTTTCCTTCTATTACAGAACTTGGGGAGAAACAGATCCCAGTTTGTGAAGAATTTTAGTTTCGACGGAATCATCTCCACACTCAAACTATCACAACACTTACGTGTCAGAAAAGGTATTTTAGCAGTAGTGGGAGATCAGGAGCTCTTTTTAGATAATATTTTCCATCTTTCCTTTACACTGGACTATTAAAAAGACAGATAAATATGTCCAAAACACAACATTGTGGGACTAAGTTCTGCCACAGACTTTTATGGCCCATAATTTGAATGTGTCTAAATTTCCTCTTGGTCCACGTGAGTAGAACAGGCTGAGAGTTTGGTCTCAAGCTGGTTTGGTCCCAGGAGGGATGTGGTGGGTCCCGTGCGTGTGCAGGGACAGGGGATGGCACCCAACCCCTCCGGCTGCCAAAGCAGTGCCCGGGCTCCGACAGAGCCTGCCAAAACCTTCAAAATTTCAAAATCCTTCTTCTGCATTTCCAGCTTGGAATGAAAAGTGTCTGAGGGCTCTGAGGGGCAAGGAGATGGCTCCCTGCAACCACGGGAGAACTTGCTGACAGCAGCTCTGTGCTGTAAATAGTACCTCCTAATTAAATGAGAAAGGGGGAAAGTGAGTACCAGATGCGATGTTTATTAATAAGAATAACAAAAGATACTTTGAAAATCTACTCATTGGGTAATTTTAGCTCAGGCTGGACTTCATCTGATGCGAATGCCATAAGACTAAATATAGTGCTTGACGTCTACAGTGGGCTGCGCTTTTGCAGTTAACACAGATGTTCTTAAATGTACTCAAAATTTACACCATATGCTCCTTCTATCAACTGATATGTTGATTTTAGCCCAAAGAAAGACAACGTGTCAGCAGCAGCCGCCTCAGAAGAGGCTGTGTCTGAGGAAGGTGGTTGGAGGTGTATCTCCTCCGACCGTTGAGGAGTTTTGCTGCATTTCCTTTCCCAGATCCAACAAACTGGTGGCAACAGAACCCCCGACTCGGTTACAGCAGTTAGGGATGTGCTATAATTTTTGCAAAGCCCCCTGAATGTATACTAAACATGTCAAGTAACACCATGTGATTCTTTTTGAAAAACAGTTTACAAGCTGGCATTCTCCAGCTGCAGTTAACCCTAATTTGATTACATTACCGAGACAGATCACAATGAGCTTATGTAAATAGTAACGTTATCCATTCATTCCGTGGGCTCAGATAAACTGTCATTTAAAAAAAAAAAAAACAACTAAAAAAACCAACCCAAAACTCAAATAGCATGGCTTGATGTATTCAGCAAAGGCGGAGATGACAGACTAGAACCTGCCCCTGCTCTATCGCTGTGAACCTGGGTTTTTAAGAAGTATTTCCATGTCTGCTCCAAGTTGGAAATAGAAGAGAATGCCCAATAATTAATTCCACAGAGGTCAGTATGCAGAGAACAGCACTTTTTTCAATAACTTATTCCGCATTATCACCTAATTCTTTAGGAGGACCTCACTACATCGCTATTGAAGTTGGTGAGACTCAAAGCCAAGCGGCAATTCCATGTTTCCAGCAGTGCCCGGGGGCCTGCCCTGGAAGCTGGCACTTCCCGAGCTCTGGAGAGCCCCTAGCACTGCCCAGCCCTGGCACCACGATGGGGACATCACCTCCAGCTCTGGAAGCCCATCTGTGTCACCCACACCATCTGAACCTCCTTCTTCTTCGGGGAATACCATGCAGCCGCATCATACAAAAAAAAAAAAAAAAAAACAAACCACCTTGAAAACACTTATTTTGCCTTAAATTAGCTGAGGTCCTCTGAGTCTTACTTGCGCACAAGTTGACATTAATACTCCAGATGAAACCACAGGCTCTGTCCCCACTGTGCCTAATTTGCTGTTGTTAATGGGTAAGTTTCCCCGCGTGACGAAGACGTGATGCCTGCGCTGGCGGCGTGATGGGGGCACACGCCAACAATTCACAGGCAAAGCAAGTGTCTCCTTCCAGCCAGTTCCTCACGGGCTTTAAAAAATTACTTCTCAGCCCTGCTACCAAGAAACATTCCCCCCAGCAGGACGAGGGGGGGGAAGCTGTGGCTGCCCCATCCCTGGAGGGGTTCAAGGCCAGGTTGGAGGGGGCTTGGAGCAACCTGGGCTGGTGGGAGGTGTCCCTGCCCAGGGCAGGGGGTTGGAACTTGATGATCTTTGAAAGTTCCTTCCAACCCAAACCATACTATAATTCTGTGATTCCAACAGGACAACACTGTTACTAAGCTTCAAATCTTGTTCTTCATAATTTCCATTAATTACTCCTTTTAAAGTTTTACCCTGCGAAGTCCTGAGGGTGCTGGCCCCGATCCAGTCAGGTATTTAAGCGAGTGGTATCAGTGAAATAAATAGAAACAGAATTGCTCCAGACGTAAGTGCTTTTCTGGAGGGAGGCCAGGAACACCAAGCACCTTGCGGGGTACAGCCCTCCAGAGCAGGGGGTCACAACTCCCCTGGCACATGCCCACCCCCAGATGCCCCACTCCTTGGTCTCCATCGGAGAACTGAGGGTGCTCAAACACCCCCCTTGCCACAGTTCCCTCAGGGGTGAGAGGTGGGAAATGGGAGGGGGGTATGAAAAAATGAATCTCTTCACCTGGCTGTCAGCATGAGTTGGCTCCCCCAGCTCGGACGTGTACAGAGACTCCACATAACTTTATGTCTGTCTCTGTCTGGCCTCAGCACATATCTCAACAACATCCTCACTCCCTGCTGCCCAAGGGCAATTTCACAAAAACAAAACAAAACA